CTTGAATGGAGAAGTAGCGGCTCCGGCCCATAAAATCGAGATCAACGGCCATAGGAATTCGTTGCGCTGACCACGCAACACCATCTATCCGCTAAAGTTGGCACTAACTTCGCCGACAAGCAGCGGTCGCTTGATCGGTATAGTTCGCTTGCGGACTACAGGCCACGGAGTTTCTTTTTGTAGTTCTGCATTTTAATCACAGTGCCTCGTACGATCCTTATAATGAATAGCATTTATTTCTCTGACAAAAATTAACCATTTGGTTTCTGGAATGGAGAAGCAATATGCCGGAATTTAATTTGTAATTTGTATATGCAGCCCTCCAAGAAATAACCTCAAAATTGCCCTTAATGCAGCCCTCCCAATGTTAAATCAAAAGTTCATTCTAATTCAGCCTTTCCGACATTAATATCAAAATTAATAACCATATTACGCAGCTAGGTCCATGCTCGACTTTTCTCCTCTATCTGGTTATCTATCTATGTCTGTACAGTCTTTTTGTTTCATCTCGGGCCGCTTTTTCACTTCCTTAATCTTATACAAAGTCGGCAGGGCTCCATGGATGGGGGATCAGCCCGTCGCAAGGCCGCTAACTACACAGGACAACACAAACACAGAATAAACCCACACAGACATTCATGCTTCGAGTGGGATTCGAACCCACGATCCCAGCGATCAAGTGGGCGAAGACAGTTCATGCCTTTGACCGCGCGGCCACTGTGATCAACTTCTCTATACTTCTCATAAAAACTACTTCCTAACCCTATATTTCTTTCACCCTCCCTCGAACGTACCTCTGCCAGAAGGATGAGCGGGCACTGCCTAGGAACCTTCAGAACAGGAAAAATTATGTTTCCCCCACTCCAAATGTGGTAGCTCACACTGCCCTCCCACAACATTCTCTTCTTCGATCAGCAGATTCTTCGAACGAAGGATCTTATTAAATAAGATCTCGAAGAATTAAGATGTGAAGATGTCGTCTAGATTCAGCTGTTTCTGGGTCTGTCCAGTGATGGCTTTCCTGCTGCTGATGAGAATCCTTCGATCAGCTGGAAGTTGTCAGCTCAAGGAAGTGATGGAGAGTGTGTGTGGCTGAATTGGAATGCAGAGCAGTGCTGGGATTTCCTTGTGTTGAAACTCTGCGCCCTCTAACTTGAGTAACATAACTACTGAAGGAAGTACCCGTGCCACAGAGCTGACCTGCGGCACTACTTCTAAGAAAAGCGATTGCACGAAGACGTAGAGATGTAGAATATAAAACCTGTTATACGGGTATACGCCCCAGGCTTTGTAAGCTAGTGCGAGGTGCAGTGGTTATCCACATCTCCGTAGGTGCGGGTTGGTAAGTAGTGCTTTCTGTTTGCTTCAGACGAAGCATGCGGTGTTTTATTTCTCTCATTTGAGTAACCCGTCGTTCGCGTCCCAACACTCTAATTTAACCGAAATATTAACACTCATTAAGTAAAATCAATTTAATTTCCTGTTCTAATCTCTTCCAGGTGTGATCTTTGACTCTGCCTCACAGATGGTCTCTCGATTACCAAGGACACAGGAATGTTTGACACTCGCGAAGATCAAAGTTCATGAACTGAATTTAAAGCTGTGAGAATCACTGCTCTAGCTTTGTTTGTCTTCTAGTGGACGGAATTCTTTAACACGTCCACAATTCTTTCCGTGATATATTTTGGAATTTTGCGATTCTGTTTTTCACAGAACAGGCTGGTCTAGAAGTAACTTTCATTAGTCAGGAGGGGCTCCGTTCACATCTTGTCCGGGGTACCAGGTATCCTGACTGAAGTTTTTCGTGGTTTTACTCACACCCTCTACGCTAATGCCGGGACAGTANAATGCAAATGAAGTAACATAGCGTATACAATACCTTTACCAAATGAAACAGTTCTTATACAACAATAACGCATATACAACAAAATAACACACAAAATAAGGATTATCTCCTCTAAAAGAATGTCCTTTGTCAAGCACAATTTTTCTGTTGTAACTAAACTCCGGCCTAAGCTCGCGAGAAACGTTTCTTCACAGTTTAGTGTTCGAGGAAGCTGACTAACATGACTACGCTTGAGCCGGCCAAAGAATTCTCACGGACGGTGGGGATAAACGTTGCTAGGAATGGCGGGCTTGTTCCCCTACTGTACCGCCGTAGCCTGCCTGTCGAGGTCCCTCGCTGCCCTTGCTGCAGTAAGAGCAATCCGGCCATGGGCGAGATGAATGGCCGGAGAGTAGGAAGTGGAAGAAGATGTTTCAGAACAAGATTCCAGTTACAGTACAATGACAGTTTATGTGTGGGGACTTGCTGGCATCGCGGTGTTGGGCGTTGGTATTTGGGCCGGGTCTCTTTCCTGATGGCACCTGTATATATGCGATAGACCGCAAAAAGGGTTATGTTCTCAGAAAGCTGCAGCGAGGTCTCAGTGCTATTGAGACATGGTGTGAGCACTCGAAGATAAAAATCAATGAAGGTAACACTCAGGTCATCTAGTTTCCTCAGAGACTTAGGCCCGCTGAGGGGCATCTTACACTGAATGGGCGGAATATCCCCTTCATCAATCATGTAAAATATCTCGGTGTAATCTTCGATAAGAGGATTACGTGGAGATTTCACATAGAAATGATTGAAGCCAAGGCCTTCCGAACATTTATTAGAATCTACTCCATATTCAAAAATGAGCGTTTTAGCGCTAAACGATTGCCCTGCCTGGGAATTAACACCAAACATCTACCTCTTACCATTTCAGCGCCTGAAAAAAGGTTCTCCGCACCACTGGAAATTTTCTAAGGCGCACACCGGTCCGCGATTTTCACACTACTTTCAGCCTTCCTTATGTATATGATTATATAACAAAATTGTGCAAGCAACTAGCAGAAACCATACAAAATCACGAGAATGAACATGTTCTAAGCATAGGACAAGGCGAAGCCAGACACATTAAATATAAAAGGCTTAAACTTGGCGTTGGTCAAGCTTCGACCGTTCAAGTGACTAGGCTGTCGTTGTAGCATAAGATAGATATGATCTGCTTTGCAAAGCCACTAACAGACAGAGGACTTGTATATAGCGCAAAAGGAAGAATTTTAAGCAACATGCTACATGTGCGTAATGCACACTTAATGATAGGCCAAGCATATTCATAAGAGACAAATCCATGTTCTCGTCAGAGAGGTTTTTTTTTTATTGCTAGTGGGGTGGGACTAAGTCCCTTGTACTGTGGCCACTTCTGGCCTATTGTACCAGCCCCAGATGATAGGTGAGGGTGATTGTGGAGCAATTGGTGGAATAAAGATTGGCAGGGGAAACCGAAGTACCAGGAGAAAACCTGCCCCAGCGCCCCTTTGTCCACCACAAATCCCACTTGACCAGACCCGGGATCCAACCCGGGCCGCCGTGGTGGGAAGCCAGCGAATAACCGCTTGAGCTATGGTGCGGTCCCAGAGAGGGTATTACATAAGGGCTATTGCCGCAAGAGTTCAGTAGAAAAATAAATTTCTGGTCGTGGGCCTCTAGGAGCTTGACGCCAAGACGAACTGGCCGGCAGTAAACCGCCAGTCGCAAAGTAAATTTGACTTTGACTTTGATTTTGACTTTGACTTTGAGGGGTCAGTTTTCGGTAGATGCCCACGGAAATTTAGGAGTTGAAGCAGAACCAGACGTCAGCCTGAGAAGACTTAGCGCGTCCTAGTGAGTTGTGAAGTACGTAGATTACCGGTAGAGCTATAATTATAGCTCTACCGGTAATCTACGTACTTCACAACTCAATTATAATTGATTGTGAACAGGAGAGACTGTAAAAGGAGGTGTCAATAAATCCAATTATCCAATCCAGAATCCGTTATTATTAGTCACGGAGCCATAAACGCATGAGTGTTATAGATATGATGTTGTCCTGACAGATATAAAGGCAACAAATGGTGGGCCAAAAAGTAAAAGTAAAGCTATCCCTGTAACAGGCCGTGGAGGCCCGTAGGGTTGTGAGATGTTGAGGGTCCCACATTATCTAGACAATCGGCTCAAAGATGGCGGTAAGGTTGTCAGCCTTACGCACAGGCCACGCTTTACGGCCCAGGAAAATTATTTATTTAATTCTTGGTACTCATTTCTGTTAGAGGCTGAGTGAACCCCCAGGGCCATAGTGCGGCTTGAAGGATTAGGTCAACTGAAAAAATCCAATGACCTCATCGGTAATGGTGGGCTAAGCAAGCCCTAAATACTAACGTAATATTCGAAAGATTCTGAACTCACTTCCAGCTGCCACCAATAATCGTAACATCATCTATATAGGATTTGAGGCTTCCACGGCGGTGACTATGAAGAAAGCCGTCTTCTGGGATGTGGCGCCTTGTAAAAATTGTGTTAGCCGACGTTTCGGAAGAACGTATCACCTCCATCTTCAGGGTAGAAGACAAGAAGAAATCAGCGAGCGAACCATTAGACCAGGTGCAACAGACTGAATCCAGCTGGATGCACCTGCTCTGCTGGTTCTTTCGCGGATTTGTCTTCTACCCTGAAGATGGAGGAGATACCTTCCTCCGAAGCGTCAGTTAACACAATTTCTACACGGCGCCACATCCCATAAGACGGCTCTCTTCAATAAGATCTGTCTGTGCAGTAGCAACAAGTCACGTGACAACTAGATTGCAACAAACTCTTGACACATTTATCTATACTGAATATACATAAACAAAATGGACAATGTCCAGCATAATTTTGGTCTAATATGCTATGAATTCAGAATTGCGTGAATATTGGAAATGGGGCCTCACTGTGGCATAGACTCTACCAAATTCAATCCAGAAACTCGTTTCATGGAAATAAACACCACACAAGGTGGTTAATCTTAAGAAAAAGTAAACAGCAACATTATGCAATCTTAGAAGAGAAATAAATGAAGATGAAAGTTTAGCTTTTGGACCTCAATATGAAGCAATGAATATCTCTGTTCCAAGTAGAACATATGTAACAGTGTATCTCTACCTTTCAATCCAAGGGATGTCTTTCGTGGGACTGGGCGCTATTTCTGCTGCTGTCATGTCATCAGCTGTTGCCTGTATCTTGTTCTCCAGCTCCATGTTTTCTAGGAACATTTATAAATCTGATTTTAGGCCAAAGGTATGTATTCTAATGTCATTATATTCAGTTGTGTTGGTCTGACTGTTAAAAACATACAGAACATTTCATTTAAATGTTACTCAAATTATTGTACCTGCAAGCATAACCTCGAATGTTCATACGAATGTAATGTGAACATTCTTCAATTCACAAAGAAATGTTCCATGTAAGTAAAGTAAAGCTTTCCCTGTACCAGACAGTGAAGGCCCATGGGGTTGTGAGACGTTGAGGGTCCCACATTTTCTAGACAATCGGCTCGAAGATGGCGGTAAGGTTGTCAGCCTTACGCGCCGTCCGCGCTTTACTCCCCAGGAAAATTATTTAATTAATTCCTGGTACTCATTTCTGTTAGAGGCTGGGTCGACCCCAGGGCCCCGTGCGGCTGGAAGGTTTATGTCAATTAAAAAAAAAATCCAATGACCTCATCGGGAATTGAACCCGCAACCTTCCGGCTTGTAGCATACTACCTCAACCACTACGCTAACGCGTAGTATTTAAAAATTTCCTTTATTTTAATATTGACATTGCCCCGAAAATAGCGTAAATAAAAACAGGGCGATCGATAATGTTCAGAAAAACAATAATTGTAACAATAACTTAATCATTTTTCAAATACTGAATCCTCTTCTGTACCACTGCAATCACATACTCAATTACTGTCTTCTCTTAAAATCTGAAAAATTGAGCTATATTTTTTTAATGAATTTATATACAAAATTGACCTTGGCAATGCCCATCAGGCCTGAAAAATTGAGATACAAATGTCACTGCATACTCCTGCCATCTATCAAACGAGTCCAGAAAACTATATGCCTGAAAACCAGTCAAGTCAATGAGATAATTGAAGGTGAAAATCTCAGTGGTCTGAAAGGATTACTTATATCAATTTCTTTTCTTGAAAAACAGCAAATGTCCGAGCGCCTTTCCTGAAGAACAACAGATGTCTCGCCAAGCGCGAACATGGCGCCAGTAGAAGAAACGTGAGGTGTTGGTGATGAATATAAAATTGCGCATGCTACTAGGTCATCAGAGAGAAAATCAAGCGTGGAGAAATGAAGACAGGGACCAGAGGACAAAAACACATTTTTCACAATATGATGAACATAACAAAACTAAAAGCAGCTACTAAAAACGCGTAGTCGGTATAGCGACTGGCTACGGGCTGGAGGACGGACATTTTAATTTCTCCACGTCGTGGATGCCGACTCTGGGGTCCACCAAACCTCCTACACAACGGGTACCGGGGGCTCTTTCATGGGGGGAAAGCGTCTGGATGCATGATACTGACGACTCATCTCCAGCTATTGCCGAGGTCAAGAAAATGTGGATCTATACATTCATTCCCCCATAAGTCTTCATGGCGTAGTGCTTAATTACATGTAGTTAAGCACAGGGACAACCTCACCTTTACCTTACTCAAGAAGGGGCATACAGATTGGCAGCATAATGCAATCTTCACCAAGCTCAAACATTATATGAATTAAAAAAATCGCGTTAAACTGCAATGTCAGTTTTACGTCAGTGACACAGCCCTTGCGTTTGAGTTCATGCAGAATCTCCCTGTGTCACACATGAGGGCGACTAAGGTAGTTTATAGTAGGCAGGTGTGGCACTGGGTATTCATAATAATGGAACATGCATGGTGGTGACGTACACATGCAATGAGGGCGAAGGAGCACGTGGACAGAATTATGTGGCATCAGTACTGCTGGATTGTCTTACAAGTAATCTAACGGCAGACTCACTCACTCACGGAGCTGAGCCCTTCCTGAGAAGCTACATATTCTGCAGCTACTCAAGAAATTCTCAGCATTTTATGGAACCCGAAGGTTCATTACCGTGTTCAAGAGAACCCTCCACTGGTCCGTATCCTGAGCCAGATCAATCTAATCCATACCATCCCATCTTGTCTCTCTAAGATCCATTTTAATATTGTAAACCCACCTACGTCTTGGTTTTCCCAGTGGTCTCTTTCCTTCTGTCTTTCCCACCAATATCCTATATGCATTCCTCTTCCCCCATTCCTGTTACATGCTTTGCCCATCTCATCCTCCTTGACTTGATCATTATAATTACACTTGGAGAAGAGTACAATTTATGAAGCTCATTATGCAGTTTTCTCCATCCTCCTGTCAGTTCATCCCTCTTCGGTTCAAATATTCTCCTCAACACCCTCAGCCTAGGTTCCTCCCTTGATAATCAATGCTACAGAAGAGCACCTAAATAGTGGGACATTTGAAATAAATCCGGGACAGCGGGACATTATATGAAAAATCTGGGACGAATATGAACCCTATGATAGATGAAAATGAACTGGAAAGAATTTATAAGAAAGTGACCGTGGTCTAATCGAGGTACTTACTAATTTGGCATTTGCCTGGAAGTACTGAGGAGGATAACGAAAAACCTCTGTCAAGATAACAGGTGTCCCGACCACACACCTCCTGAACACTCTTTATTCCTTTCATACTGTTATTCGTTCTTTCAGTTCCCTGTGAAAACAGCGAATTAAATTTATTTGGTAGCGTAGTTGGTTGAGGGGTTATGCTACAAGCCGGAAGGTCGCGGATTCAAGTCCAGATGAGGTCATTGGATTTTTTTCAGTTGACCTAACCCTTCCAGCCGCACTATGCCCTGGGGTTTACTCAGCCTCTAACAGAAATGAGTACCAGGAATTAATTAAATAATTTTCCTGAGGAGTAAAGGGCGGCAGGCGCGTAAGGCTGACAACCTTACCGCCATCTTTGAGCCGATTGTCTAGATAATGTGGGACTCTCAACGTCTCACAACCCTATGGGCCTTCACGGCCTGTTACAGGGATAGCTTTACTTTTTTTTTTTACTTATGTTTAATTTAATGACGCTGTTAGAAGCTGAACTACCGGTATATAGCGTTGTCGATCGGTATAATGATGGTATTGGACAGGGTGTGGAATAAAGCGGCCCTTACCTGCACTGCTACGTTATCCAGGCATCTGCTGAGTCTCTGAGGAAACCATGACCTTCCTCAGTGCCGATAGTATGTGTGTAGATCATCATTCGGACCAGGTAACTTCCATGTAGGTCACAAACATCATGGCTTGAACGTCGGTCGTTTAAGCGGTAAAATTAGTTACAAATTTGTCCTTCAGATGGCACATTCTCGAAGCTAGAGCTGCCATCTGTTGGCATGTAAAAGCTAATACGAGGTGAGAAAGACAACACAGTTACTGGTTCTGTCACGCATACAGGTTGTCCCACGTGTTTGGTGCCATACTTCAGGAGCGTACTCAGGGTTCCCTAGAGAATAACTTTGAAATAGGAACCCATGTCCCCAAACGTAAATAGCAGCGCTAGGGCGGCACTTAATATAATTTTGTTTAAACTTGGCGCTTCAATGTCGAAGAGCATACACAGGCATGTTACCCCCTCCAAATTGACCTGCTAGAGTAGATGTTGGAATTGGTGCCCCCCATTTTCAATGCCTGCTTTACATCGACGAAAGAAACTTTGGTGCACCCTTTCAAATATTCCAGGTGTATCACGGATCACGTCACATGCAACAAGTATTCTGGCCAACAGCTCAAATTCATTATCCACAGGCATGTCGTAGATCAGTCTTTTCACATTGCCCCAGACGAAATAGTCCAGAGGTGTCAAGTCTGGGGATCGGGGTGACCAAGGCACTGGGCCTCCTCTTCCTATCCAATGACCATGAAAAGCAGCATCCAGGTAGTCTCGTGATACAATACTGAAGTGTGCCGGCGCTCCGTCATGCTGTATCCACATTTGCTTCCGCACAATCAGTGGCACGTCGTCTAGGAAAGTCGGAAGGATACGATCTAGGAACACCTTGTAAAAGGGCCCATTGAGTCGCGGTGGTAGGAGGAAAGGCCCAAACAAGTGATCGCCAATGATGCCTGCACAGACATTGAAAGAAAATTGTGCCTGGTGGTAACCAACTACAGTAACGTTGGGGTTTTCGTCAGCCCAGACGTGGCTGTTTCGACAGTTGAACCAGCCATCTCTTGTAAACTGCGCTTCGTCTGTGAAGAATACGTGATTCAGGAAATTGGCCTGATGTCATTATTTACTGACAAAATTGAACTCGCGGTACGAAGTCAGCTGGACCTACGTTGTGTACTCGCGTTGGATGATATGGACAAAGTTGTTGGTTGTGCAGGATCCTCCAAACACTTGATTTTGATGTTTCCACAATCTTGGCAATGGCACGAGTGCTAGTGGATGGCTGTTCCTCTATGCAATGCAGTTCGACATTGAGGCGCGAAGTTTAATCTAAATGATTTTAAATGCCGCCCTAGCGCTGCTATTTTACGTTTGCGGACATGGGTTCCTACTTCAAAGTTGTTCTATAGAGAACCCTCAGTACGCTCCTGAAGTATGGCACCAAACGCCTGGGACACTCTGTATATAGTCATAAACCATCCACCCATCCGTGCATCTGTCCACCTACCTACACCACGAATTACATGGCCCACACCTACTGCAGAAGAAACATGTTCTAAGACTACTGCCCCTTCGACACCTCACTCCAACAACACGCCAGCTTTCTGCTTGTACTGGCCAAGATCGCCATCTGTAAGACGTATTTGGAACGAACAGCAACCGCCGGCGCCACACTCCGGGCTACCAGGGCATGTTCCGCACGAGGCTGCAATACCGGCTGTACACAGACATGCTCTGCACAGCCTTTGGGCAAGTTATATGATAACTTCTTGTTGCACAGGGACGTTCTAAGGAAGTTCCACGTTGGGAGGATCAGTGATCAGACTTAAGAGACCGCCATATATTCCCACTGCATCCAACTATCTCGATTGCAGACCTTAACCATCACATTTTACAAATATTGTATTCGTTGTAAATTTTAATTTATCTAACAGAAATCAGTACCAGGAACCGTCCTGGAGATAAAGGACAGCCTGCACGTAAGACTGACAACCTCACACTTATCTATGAGCCGAATGTCTAGAAAATGTGGAAGCCTCGACGTCTCACAGCCTAATGGGCCTCCACGGCCTGTTACAAGGATAGGTTTACCTATAAAATTATTGAAGAAAGCAGTCTTCTGGGATTNTTGCAGATTTCTTATATTTTTTCTTCTACCCTGAAGATGGAGGCGATACGTTCCTCCGAAACGTCGGTTAACACCACATATACACGGTGCCAAATCCCAGAAGACTGCTTTCTTCATAGTCACCGCCGTGAAAGCCTCAAATCTTATATAAAATTATTATTGCAGAAATTGTATTTATCTATCTCTCTGTTCGTCCGTCAGTCAGTCGGCGTGTCTAACTATATACCCGTACAGAGTAGCATTAATCGTTCTGCAAACGATTGTTTCTTCTGGACATTATCCATCGTTTTGTTTCTATCTAAAACATCTTCCTGGGATCCGAAGATTGGGATTTGGTCCAGCTACTTAGATTGTCCCGGAAGATGGAGATAGAATCCAGTCTCCGAAACGCTGTATATTTAGATAAAAAGAGGACGATGGTGTCCAGAAACATAATATTTGTACCAATGTGCCATCGCCACAGACTTTTAAAGCTTATTTATTAATCGATCTGTTCACAGTTTGTCTGGTGAGGGAGGTCAGTCCGTCGGGAACAGCGCGCTCAGTACCACATCCAACGCTCTTTTACTGCAAAGTGAAGGGATGCCGTAAATATTATGAATACATTACTCCAGTCTGTCTGCTCTTATATGAAGGGCAAAGTCATGCTTTGGCCTTTACATCTGATCATGCTTCACCAGTCTCTTTATCATTTTTTACCCCGAAACACTCTTTCCTGGTATTGATATGAGTTGTAACAAAAGTTTTCTTTTCCGGTTGAGTGCAGAATTTACAATATCAGGAAGTTACATCTGCAGCTTCATTACTAATTACAGGGTCTTCTCGGCAATGAAGGAAGGGGGGGATACCGTTTTCGCGTAGCTGGAAGCTCTTTCAAACATCTGCAAAAATTGACCGCTGTGTATATATTATCTTTAGTTTACTATTTCGTTAAGCCATTTAATGGAATTATGTTATTATGTGTGGACTTAAATTTGAGAAAGAAACTAGTGAAATGCTACATTTGGAGCATCGCTTTGTATGGGGCTGAAACATGGACACTTAGGGCAGTAGATCAGAAACACCTGGAAAGCTTCGAAATGTGGTGTTGGAGAAGAATGGAGAAGATCAGTTGGACCGATTATGTGAGAAATGAAGAAGTGTTATTTAGAGTCAGTGAGCAGAGGAATATCCTACACGAAATAAGAAAACGGAAGGCTAATTGGATTGGTCATATCTTATGCGGTAACTGCCTTCTAAAAGAAGTTATTGAAGGAAAGATAGAGGGGCGGATAGAAGTGACCAGAAGACGAGGAAGAAGACGTAAGAAGATGCTGGATGACCTTGGGGATAGAAGAGGATATTCTCATTTGAAGGAGAAAGCTCTAGATCGCAGTAAGTGGAGGAACTGTTTTGGAAGAGTGGACCTGTCGTCTGACAGATTGTTGATGAATGAATGAATTATTATGTGATCATCAGACAGAAATGGACACCTGTAAGCTTTAGGAATAAGTTTATTTGCAGTACTTTCAGATTTCTACAACGCAACGAACGTAGTTATTGAGATGTTACCCTTCCACTTTACACTAGAGAGTTTCCGGGTTCGACATTCGACTCAGCGGCCGGCGATCCTGATTTTCTTGGTATTTCTTCTCACTACATATAAATAAAGAATTAATTAATGTCTTTAGAACAGGCTACAATCACCTCCTTGTACATTGATCACAATCGTTCGGCCTGTCAGTACGATATACGCTACGGAGATGAGAAAATGTAGTTAAAAACACGCACGCACGCACGCGCACACACTATAGTCAGTGAGATGTGAGGTATTCAGGGCAGCAAGTATTAAAATTACGGTCATCTGGATTGTAATGCCATGTAGTTTGGTAGATATGTCCCAAATGCTTCTAGGGAACATGTTTCTTTCATCTTCAGAGCAGATAAAATAATTATTATCTTATGTAAAATTATATCATTGAGTAAATCTGTCAACCTCAGTGCTTCGGTTCCTGAACCACTTAATTAAATTGTATGAAATGTGGTAAGGGACATTTGCACCGAAGCTTATCACTGTGGGTCGGCCTATTATGAACGCCTCTCCAACTCTCCGCCACTATCCCGGGATCTGTAAACTGGTTCGAAAGTTCATGATAAGACTTTCCTTAGCACACATTAAGAATCACGAAAGATATTCTGAGCACTTCTTATAAATGCATTATTTCAGTGCAGTAAATCGGAAAAGAATCGTTTGTAGACAAACATTAATATTATCACGTGTTAGAGTGAATCTCGACAGGGTTTTGGATTGGAGATTGGATTTATTGGCCACTTCAACACACGACTCGTGACTACACTTAATTATGGCATCATCCTTGATCTCCACAATTTAAAAATGAATACAGCACAAGTATTTTTAGTCTGCTTAGTTTTCATTAATCGTTCTCTGGTAACAGCTTCTAACAATCGAGATTCTTCAGCTTCCACGCTCAGTTTGTTTCCCGCTGGCTCTCAACTTGCGCTGGCTAAGTCTTCTCTTTACAGATGTCCTCACAACTGAAATCTTGCTCAAATTGTCTTCCATATAACATTTCGGCACTGACCGCGTAGAAAACACCTTTCATAGTTTTGCTCCAATCGTTTCTGTGGGAACATGTTTGTTTGCGAAGGCGTTACTCAGTAACGGTTGCGAATACTTGCTTATTAAGAATCTTGCCTAGCAGTGGATATTGTTTCGTTGTTTGTTTCGCGTCGTTATCCACTATTTAAAGCAGACCTCAGGTTCACATAAAATCATAATTACACTGGATGGGCCCGGCAACGAGCAGCATCGCCTTGCGCCACGAAAATCCATCGAAACCCCCTAAGCAATTTCGGAGAACCAGACTATCGTACCGACAGTGTATGAAGTCCATCTATGTGTACTATATGAACCAGGGTACGCCGGACCTTATGCAAACAACCTTACGGAAGTACGTCTAAATTCCCCGTCAACGTGTTAATACCGGAAGTATTCCGAAAATACAATCAAGTAACTTACTACTAGCAGGTCACGGTAGCCGAGGGGTCTAAGGCATGTACTGTCTTTGCTCGCTTGGAAACCGGGATCGTGGGTTCGAATCCCACTCAGGGCATGGGTGTTTAGTTTGTACGTGTGCGTTTTTTTGTGTTTGTGTACAGGTAGGGGCCTTGCGACGAGCTAATCACCCGCCCAAGGAGTCCTACAAAATGTCTATGATCTAGAAAACCCGAAGTGAACGGAGAAGTTCATGGAGGTAGGCGTAGGCCCACTAGGGCTGTAGTACCAAGAAAAAAAATCTTACTACTAATTACGTAACAGTCTACACAGTAGACTGAGCATAGGGAGAGGTCCTCTCTCTCCGATTGCTTGATTTCGAATCTCTTCATAGGTTTCGATAAAAGTTCTTTTGACTGTCTATACTAAACAAACTCCGTGGCTTGAGTCCGAAAGCGAACTATACCGACAGAGAGACCGCCGCTTGCCGGCGCAGTTTTAGTGCCAACTTTTGCGGATAGAGGGTGTCCCGTGGCCAGAGCAACGGATTCCTACGGCCGTTAATCTCGGTTGTCTAGACCGGAGCCGCTATTTCCTTGAAATAGCTCCTCAATTATCTTCACGAGGCTGAATGGACTCCGTTCCAGACCCATTACTTCTCAGAAAATATGGTGGCGCCGGGAATCGAACCCGGACCTCTTTATCTGTAGCCAGGAACTCTGACCACTAGACCACAGAGGCGGTCGTCTACTCTAAAACTGAAATTAATTGTGTGGTGTCTCTTCCTAGTGGAACGCACCTCTCCTTAAAAGTGCGATCACATCGAAGCACACCAGACCAGAGGAGTGTGACATTTTCGAGCTGTGGTAACACATTTTAATGTGGGCGATCCAGTAGCATACGTCACAGGAAGACATAACAAGTCTTCTTTTCTGCCGAGCATGACGGCTCATGCGAAATTCCTTGCCAGCCATGACGATCACCGGAAAAGGAAACATATGCGTTTTCGACCCTGAACATTTCATTGAATTAGTGCTGAAGAAGTCGTTCCTCTATGATGTAAAGAATATAAAGCATAGTAACAGGGACACTGTCCAGAAGGCGTGGGATGACATCGCGAAAGAGATGGGTTGTGAAAGTATTTAAATATGAATTATAGTTCTAATTCTATGGAATATTACATAAATTCTTGATGACGTCTTACGATAAAACTGCAATGAAATATGAAAGAGATTTACTATACGTGATTATTCTGCCATTGAAGTTTCTCAACAGGGGGGGAAAAAGTTGGAAATTTTCTGCCTAACGTCATGAAAACAAGAACTTCGACTAATTGCCACATTACCTGTAAGATTACTAACATATTTATTTATTTCTTATGCTGCTCGCTGTAAAAGGGATTCCTCTCCATTTCTGTTTTCTTTTATAATGAAATTATACAAAACAAAAATAAGTCTAACGATCATTTTCCTGGGGTTACATCCATGGCCTTTTGAAGGACAGCAAATCTTTTAGTCCGAAAGGCCACTCAACTGCTCGCCGTGCTCTGCGCAGCATGTAATTGGAAATCTTCTGTTTGTACAAAGGTTCCCGCCTCACTGACCGCGATTACAACTGGACTTTGACTGTCACAGTCCAGAAATCTGAATCAGATGTCCGGAATGTTTCTGACAGGCGCTTCGTTTCTGAACAGATTTGCAAAAAATATTGAACTTTCCAATAAGCAGCTACATCTGTACAGGTAAGTGTACACTCGGCATGAGCTACCAGCACAAGCTAATGACAATCTTCAGTTCTATAAAATATTGAACCTGCATTGGTGGGACACTTCATTATGGCAGATTTTCCCAACCAAGCTGCCTGTGCAATTAGGAAAATTTGTTCTTTCGAAGTGCCTAGCAGACGCTTCCAGCCAATCCCTTTTACTAGGGACAGGCATGTAAGTTGGTTGTAAAATGAACCACACTGCAGTACATATTTCAGAAAATATTCTGTTCACCGTTGATTTCCCCAAGTTGGTCGATGCATTATGCTACAATCCAGAAAGTCGCGTGTTAAATTTCCAGTGAGGTCATTGTTTTTTTTTTTCAATAAACTAATCCTTATAAGTAGAATTACCACAGTCATCCAAGTAAATATCCAGAATCTCAGGAACCATAACTGAATTAATGAGCCATTCGAGGTATCACTTTAATGTGGCTTACAATGAGACATGCAAGAGCCGAGATATCTCAGTCGGTATAGCGACTGGACGACCGAGGGACAGGAGTTCCAGTCCCGGTAGGGCCAATTTTGTCCACAGCGTCCAGACCGGCTCTGGGGTCCATCCAACCTCCTACCCAATGGTTACCGAAGGCTCTTTCCCCGTAGGTAAAACGGCCTGGGCGTGAAGCTGACCACTTACCTACGGATAGCACCGAGGTCAATAAAATATACATCCACACCACGCCTTCATGGCGCTGTGCTTAATTAGTTAAGCATCGGGACAAATTTATCCTGCCTTTACCTATCCCTTCCAGCCGCATTATGACCCTGGCATCGACTCAGCATCTAACAGAAATGAGTACCAGGAATGTTCCTGGGGATAAAGATCAGCGGTAGCGTAAAGCTGACAAAATCACAGCCATCTGTGAGCCGATTGCCTAGAAAATGTGGGAGCTTCGACGTAGAATTTAAGACGCTGTGTGTTGGGAGTCTTGTTTCAGAATCTCCACCGGAGAAATTGCTGAGGCGTTTCATGGTTTCTGAAAACCTTTCCGGGCAAATTTCGGTATATTACTGAGAAAGTGTCTATATTCTCTACAGAAGAGGATCAAATAATAATTCTTCCATTCTGTTCCAACCTAAACAATTGAAGGCATGTAGTGAAACAAGAGCTCTAGGTAAATGCGAATACAGGATGTGTTCATACACTCATCTGAAACTAAAAATGTCATTGCCCTGAACAAATGGATGGAAGGAAGGCCATCGGAAACAACATTGGACATGGTGGTAGAGAGGAAACGTCAACTTACATCAGTC